GGCGATGCAGGATTGATAAAAGCAACTGAAAAATCTGTCAACTGCACCAAAAGATAAACTACTGCTGATCTAGGCATCCCAATTCCTGAACTAATCGCTTTTTCTCCAAGAAAGTATAAAAATTCTAAACTCCTAAATGACAATAACTGATGAACAATTAAAAAACCTGCAATCTGCAAAATTTTTTCAGCAAACCGTACGACAAATGCCGCAAGGATTCTGTGCATTCAACTCACATCCAATCACTAACATTACAATAAGGAAGTAATATTTCTAAGATTGCAGTATCTTAGTAGGCAGATAAGTTCAAAGGGGGATGAGCCTACCAAGAAATACGGCTTTTCGAAGACAGACAAACGAGCGGAATTTGACACTCTTTCACCGACCATATTCGTTGCTACACACTGATAGAATCCGGCATCTGATCGCTGTACCTAAACACAAAAAAAAAATTATAATTTCATATAATGATTTTTTCTTCAGTTTCAAAATGCTTTGTCCAGGCTGGCAGGACACACAACACTCTTTGCAAAAATATAAATAAGCACTTTTTTTTTCAGCTTTTAACTGCCAACTGTAACAAACAGTGTAGGCAAAGGTGCTTCATTGTGATGTACGGGAATTTGTTGTAGTATATTGATTATTTCAGTTTCAAAATGCTTTTACAAAAATGTTCTCTAGAGATTTGATTAGTCCAACTAATTCTACAGTCTTTCGCCTTGATGGGTTGGTTAGCTTTTTTCACATTTCTTTCTATCAGGTGCATCAGATGGAACCAGTTCCGCGCTCGTAATTCCCAGCGCATTTAACTCTTTGAAAAAGAGGAACACATTCGTCAGTGACTCTCGCTGTCAACCACTGCCCGTCAAACCATCGATGACTCTCAATTCCAGCTGCCGCATAAACAAACCGAGGAAAGGTCCGCGTCTTCAGGCATACGAGGTGAGCCACAACCAATTCACAGGTCAAAACCAGCTAATAGAGTTGTAAGAAGATTGCTTTCCCTCAGCAACCATCTCGAAGCAAACAAAAAAAAAAACAGAAACGTAGGGGAAGCTGATACATGCCGCCACACTAGTGCTACCAGTTGAGGTGACCGAGTGTATCCGATAATAATTGTGGACAAGCAGCATGAGCTCAAATGGTAACCTTTTCAATGATGAGACTGCCACCCGGATGCAGCACGATCCCATCTTCATCCTGGGGACGCAATTCTCGTTCATCTTTGCGCCAAGAAACGACCGGCTCCGGAAATCCACGAGGTGGCGAACATTCCAGTACTGCTTTATTGCCAATCACAGCCTGTAATTAGGCAAATTCGCCCAGTGTACGCAGCATTGGAATTTTATGCTATAAATGATCTTTCAAAATGAGAATAAACTGAACTGGCACACCCAAAGTGTTTACGCACAAATCCCATGTTATGCTGAGGAAGGGGATGGGGTAAGGCAAAATGACAAAGGATTCAAGATAAAAAGAAAACTAATTTTCTGGTTTTTAAGAAATTTCCTGAAAAAAAAAACGCATAAAATCTTGGCAACAAAATGAGCTGACTGGCCAGAGAGGTATGAAATCGTTGCCAAACCGAATTTCAGGGCTGTTTCAGGATTTTCTCTAAATAAGAAAACGGAAAAAGCATCTATCAGCACCAAAACAAACTAAGACATTCGGAATTTTCAATTTTCTGAAATTTTTCATTTCGAACTATCTACCTGTATGGGTCTTGGCCGTATCCTAAAGTCGTCTCGTAACATGGCAATCTTGAGCGAAGCTTCCCTGGATCGCGCTTCACCAAACTTATTTTTCGCCACACAGTAATACGTTCCTGAATCCGCATCTTTTCCTTTACCTGTAGAAGGCAAGCATTATTTTTCTGAAATTTGTTAATGATTCGCTCAATATATGAGTCTCCACAAGGAAGGCACAAACAAATTAGGTTTCAAGTATAACAACAATTCTGTACGAATACAGCCATCTTGAGCAAAGCCCCCCTTCTGCAACGGTATATAACCAAGTGATAATCGAAATTCTCGTTTTCACTGTTTTCGGAGTCCCTGAATTGTAAAAGGGTTGAGCGTTACACTACAGGATCCAGTGTTTCGCGGTCAGCAATTCGAATTTTTACATCGTGGCAGCTACATACATGCATACATCCTACAGTCTCTAGTTGCTACCACAAACAGGATGCAATTTTTACCACTTTCCAGGCTTTTCGCGGATATTTGTGACAACAGCGCTTCCTGGGACCATAGTGTATTTAGTAAGTAGCACTCTTTTAGGGAGTATGCAAAAATTTGGACACTTCATAACAACATAAAAGCACAAAGCAACTAATTCGCATTCTTACCATTATTAACTCGAAGTAGGAATAAAGCACCGGTATGTAGCACCAAACGATGTGAATTCTTCTCCTCGTTATTTGTTATCACTGATTCCCCGTCTTTGAACCATGTAATTTGCAAATCTGGACCTTTTGCTGCACAATTCAGTGTTGCCGGCTCACCTTTCGCAACAATC